GCCGTGGGCGCGGGGGGCGACGGGGAAGAGGTAGAGGCGGGAGTTGGGGGGGGGGCGGGCGGAAGTGATCCCTTCGGCGGGGCTCTCGGGGGCCTGGGCGGCCTTGGGGGGGCGATGGGCGGGGGAATGCCTGGGGGAATGCCCGGGGGCATGCCGCCCGGCGTGACGCCGGAGATGTACCAGAAGATGATGAAGGTGGGGACAGCAGCGTGTTGGGAGGGGACGTACTCTTTTTTTGTTTTGCATGCCTGTAGCGGTTAGTCCATCGATCACGCTTCCTCGAGAGGACGGAGCATCTTCCCCACAGGACTCATCACCGACGATGGCCAATCGTTCCTTCCTACTTTGTCAAGGGTGGCTAAAAAATTTGTACCCCAGCCTATCTACCCTATCGATATATACTGTAACTTCCCACCTTTTCAACCCACTTCCTATGCCCCATTTTTTCACTAAGAGGACACCCTACAGCAGCGAAGTGTGTGTGTTAGCGCGCTCATATCTGCTTCTTGGGTGGTGATATCGAGGGTCGCAGTAACGGCCTACAATCCGCAAATTAGACCACCACGCTTTGTATTGGAGACCCTGCTGCTACCGCTGCTGGGTAACACACACATGAGAATTTCATTTTGGAGTGTTGCGGTTCGTGGTCCGGCGCTGGCGTAATGTGCAACGTGCGGAGGTTGCTGTGACTGCTGCTGAACACACACATGCCTCAGATCACTGGTACATGTGCCGACGCCATGTCCGCTTTGGTCAGCGGAGCTCTCTTTTTTGTTTTAGAATGGATTGTTCGGCAACTTACGTGAAGCTGCGAGCCTGTGAGTCATCGGGCGAGGGTAGACACTCACGCCGGCAAAGGCATGGTCATCTATCCGCCACAGCGTTGTGAGCACCCGCTATCAGAATTCGCTGAGGGAGGGCGTTGTCAACCCCTCCCTCGCTTTCTTCTCTACACCCCTCTGGCCATTTTCCAACGATCGTATCACATCTCCACCCCAAGAGTCAAATTGCCATCCTATTATAGTGCACGACTGTTATGTTGTAGTGAAATGTAGAAAGTCTCGTTTGAAGATGTCGTGGCATGACGGTCAGCCTCTACTCCTCAGACCTAACACCTCCCTGTAATGAGCACATAGCCAGCCAGACCTTTTGACACGTTCAGGAAATATTGGTGTCGTGACAATATTGGCCAGCTGGTTTCCGCGTTCAGTGCTGTTTGTAGAAGCACACACAGGCCGGCTTCCCTTGTGGTCTAGCGGTTAACCTCGTAGTACCGCTATGTAGCAGCAGGGTGGAGCTTGATTCTCTCGCTGTCGAGTGAAACAATCTTTGCAATTTTGGGTTGGGAAACACGTTTTTTTCGCGGGCAGCAGTACACATTTCGATTTTGCGGACGACGACGGAAAAGGGACGGCTATTCCCTTGTCACGAAAAGTCTAAGGCAGGCACCGCAGGAGGAAAGTGGGAAAAATATGTTTCTGTGCGACCTGCCTCCTTTTGTGACCCCAGCTGATTCGTTCAACATTCTTACCGAAAGATGCGATGCTGGTGCAAGAAGAGATGGGACGAAGACACGCAGCCGAGTGGTACATTTTGTCTTTTTGGTGCCACGGAAGGGCAATTGGCTGCCGTGTGGTACTACGGTATATCGCCTTCTTTGAGGTACTTGGGGGCGTACCGTTCCTTTCTGCCTCCTCGCCTCACCCCCTGATAGGAAGCTACAGAGGCGTTTTATGTCCCGCGGTCACGGCCGTCTTTTTGTCGGTGACCGGCCTGTTGGCGCGACGGATGCTATAATAGTTAGTGAATATCTAGACACAGCAAACGTGGCCCGTTCCCCGCATTTGAGCGTCCTTCGGGGGCTCTGGTGTCCACTCCCTGATGCTGCTGGCGTGTTTTGGCCACGCTAGTGCCTGCGGAAGAAACGTTAGTTCACAGCGTACGGGTGCCCAGGGGGGATAAAAAGCGAAACCCTCTTGACAAGTTTGTGTGTCAATTCGCAATCGAGCAACCGGAAGGGGTCGCAGGCCTATCGCACTTTGAAACGTTGGATCAAAAAGTTGCTATTTGGAGGTGAAGTCTCTTTACCTCGTAGGCACAGCCATCGCTGTCGTGCCTTGTTCGTCAAAACACTGCTATTATTGGTCCTGCCCTGCGCACCCCCCCCCCCCCCACTTAAAAACACACATGCCACGAAACCCCTAGTGTTCTTGACGTCATCTCGTGCGCTCTCCTCCTTGCCACGGACTAATTTGGTGCCTTACACACGGCTGGTTTGGGTTAGCGGTTCTGTTGCTTCGCTGAAGTGCTGATATTGAACTCGCTCGCTCGCAGGAGATGATGAACTCAGACATGATGGAGGAAGTGCTGGGCAACCCAGAGAAGATGGAGCAGGCAAGGCAAGCCATCCTGGACAACCCGACCCTCAAGCAGGCCATGACGCAATTGCCGGGCTTCGCCGACATGGTGAGTGTATTTAGGTTACACAGAAGACTGACAGTGGGGGCGGGGCTCCGCCGACATAGCGAGTGACCGAAGTCGGGAGTGTGAAGGGGGGGAGAGGGGCGGGGGAGAGGTTGTCGGTTTGGAGGGGAAATCTCGTGGAACTACGGGCAGAGGAGACCGCTTTGGGAGAAGGTGCGACAGGTGTATTGTGTGGAGGGACGATTTGGGAGTGTGATTATCACGCACGTATGAGACTCAATCCATGAGCTTGTATGATGCGTTTGGGCCACCAATTTTTTGCCTGACTGGAGGGCATTGCGCGATGAGAGATTGCGTGCGTGATGTTCGGCCTCGACGCGACAAGAGTACCATGGGGCAGGTAGTTGGTGAGGCGTGGTCAGTTATAGCTTGGGTACCTGAGAGTGGGTGCCGAAGCTGCTGTGGTACTGTATGGTTATCTTTTGCCCCACCCGCGCTGTTACCCGTGTTTGTTTTGTCTTGTCCTTGGCTGTTGCCCACCGGCCGTCCTGTGAGCGTTCTTTTGGGATTGACCAGCTACCCCGCGTGCAGCACAGCAGAAGTCAGGGTCGATTTTTCGGAGCGCAAGAAAAGGCGCACGTTTGTCATGCCCTGTTTGGAACCCCCGCTCCAAAACCTTGGAAATGTCATAAGCAGCAGCCCAAACCCAAAGAGGCGGCAAGAACAACCTGGCAATTATGAGTTTCTGAAGCGGGGGTATTAGATATGCTCCGCACTGCTGTGTACATCACAGTACACAACCGATTTTTGGGGACCACCTTTCTCTCTCTTTGGCTCTCTCCCTCTCTTCACACACACACTACATCTGTCTCTGTGCCCTACCGTTCTGTGTTTGTCATTTGTATATCCGAAAAGTTGTGCTGTGATGGCTTATGGCCCCTTTTGTCTCTCATGATTACCTACCTCCCTTGCCCCTTTTCACTTTTGTTTATAAAGATCGATTCTCCGGAGAAGTGGCGGGAGAACATGGAGATGGCGTTGGAGATGTTCAAGGCCCAGAAGGCCATGATGCAGCAAGAGGGGGCAGGGGACGAAATCGACGGCGCCGCGGATGTCGACGACCTGGATGACGAGTAGAGACTTGGTCAAGTCAAAAGAGGGATGTAGGGATGTCTTCTATCTGTCTCTCACCTTTTTTTGTGTGTTGTAGTGTTCTTGTGAACGCGGATGCGGATGTGGTGATGAATGACAAGGTATCCCAAACGGTAGTTGCATCCCTCTACGTGAAGACTTTTGGCTGTTTGTTGTTTTCTCCGGCATGGCGATGAATCCGAGAGCGCACAACAGCAGTCTCATTTGTTTTTGTCTTTGTTTCTGTTGCTTCTGTCCTTTTGACACGCGGATGGATAGGGATGGCGGTGTTGGGTGCCGGACAACACTAGGGGTGTCTTGTTCCCTAAATAGACTCTTTTTACTGCTCTCGTCGTTCCGCTAGGGGACGGTGACGAAGGCGAGTGGCGCTTTCAAAATCTTTTACGATAGTACCACCAGCGTGTGTGTTCGTTGTGGAAGCGAGTAAGGACTGCTGAGTGACGGCGGGGGTGGCTGTGACAGCATGCTACCCGCGCCTAGTTCTATGTAGAGGCTCGGGGTGTAGACTGGTGGCTGGTGATTCATTTTTTTTTTTCGTTTGACGACGCACGACGCTCGCGAAGGAGAAGGGTAGAAACAGAAAGAAGGCGGTTTTTTCCCACACGGCCGTTAAACTTTTATTTTCGTTGGGCGACGCGCGTCTGAATAGGGGGAGGGACTATAATGCACGGAAGAAAGAAATGTTCCTCCATCTCTGCTCTTGTGTCCCTCCCCCGTTGTGCTTTTCTGGGCGCGGCCGGTGCTGGACCACCACGCACCGCAGACAGACAGATGGGCTGATGGGGACTAAGAACTTGCGCGTGCAATGAGCCGACAGAGTACCAGCAGATAATATGCGCAGTCGCACGTAGCCATGGACGAAAAGTCGCCGCTGGGTTGTTGGCGCGGTGGCTTAGGCTGCCCGGTCACATGCTGTTCCGTGATGCGACAGGGCTCAGCATCTAGACTGTGCATAATAAACGGAAAGCCTCAACCATAGACAGACAGACCCCGGACTGTCGACAAACAAAAACATACCCGACCTGCCCTTGTTTTGCGTCGTTACAGAGTATCCGGGGGGGGCGGGGGGGTCTTGCGCCGTTCTTCGTGCAAGCAAGCCAGGGTTTTGTCAGACTTGGCAGTAAGACCCCTTACGACTGTGCTATCGTCTTCTTGTGCCATGTCACAAGCAGAGAGTATGTATGCATGGAAGAGTGAGTGGTCCGCCCGTGGTCAGCCTTTGGTTTCTTTCGTTCTTTATATGTTCGCGAATGATTTCCGTTCACCGACGGTTCCCCTGGATAAAACGACGCTGTCATTTGCATTTATTTCCTCTTAATTTCCGCAGCCCCGAGGACCTGCCTACCGTACGAAGAGTCGGAGAGACGGCACCCCCGTGTTCGCGTTTTTTGTAGCGTATTTCTCCACAACTAGGAGGGTTCGAGCACCAACCAACCGATACGTCTCAGGAAAGCCCTCCACGAGATGTTTCCAAAACTACCCTTTTCGGCTGTGGTACCCCCCTGGTTGTGGAGAAATACGCTATACAAAAACGCTAAAACAAGGGGGTGCCATCTCTCCGACTCTTCTTGCGGTTTTATTCAACCACATAACGTACGTCCGTTCATCACGTACGTGTTGTTTGACGATGACCAACATCAACAACAGTCCAAAAAGGGTGAAGTCGGCGATAATTTTTTACGCAGATTTTGGCAAGAGAGGGTGTACATGCCCGCACAAAAGGTATCGCAGGGGATGGATGTGCTTCCAAGTGTTGCGACTCGTCAAGGCAGCAGCGAAAGCAAAAGGTTAGTGGCCCGGCCGGGGGTAAATATGACTAAAAAGATATTTCGGTGGAGTCTCAACCAATCATAATCAAGGTGAGCTGAGGATTTGTTTCTCCGAGTTTCGTGGGCGATTTTGATTTGTTTATCCGAGTTTTTCAACGGAAAATCAAGAGAAAAGAATTGTTTGCCGCAAAGTTTCGCCATCCTTCGATTCAATCCACCTCTACGAAATCTCCCCCGCCAAGCGCTGCCGTTGTGCTGCTCCCATCATCGATCGACAAACACACGACACACAATTTTTCGATTTGGCCCGACACACAGAACCAGGGGACGCTGCACCACCCTCACCCTCGTGCAAGGAAACCGCGCGTGAGGAAGAGCGGCAGCAACGCGCTGTCTCTCTGCTGCTGCTGTGTACCCTCGCCCTGCTGGCAGCACTCTCTCGGCCTTTCCGATTGAAAGAGCCGGAAAGCAAGCGACCTTTCGACGATCCAACCACAGCAGCAGTGGGGGCAAAGACGGAGGCCAACAAGCAGTTATTGTTGTTTTTGGCGCACGCCACAGGGCGCGCGGGGTGGCAGTTTGTGCAGCAGCAGCAGCGAGACACGGCGCGCAGCGGTGGCGGCGGCTGCGATCCCCACCAGGAAGGAGCTGTAGCCTTTGATGCGTTGCCTGCGTGCCTGCGAGACTTGGGAGCCCACTGCTGACTCCATTGTTACCTTGATTTGATCTCATCTTGTGGAGCACGTGGCTCTCCCATTGCAAACAGCAGAGCGCGGCAGCGGCAGCGATGCATCAGGCCAGGGGCAGCCGGAAGGGGCAGCGGTTCTCCATGACGCACGCTTCGAGAGAGAACCGCTTCGCTGCAGTCAAGGCCGCCTTGAGGGTGAGTGTGAGAGCGAGGGTATGATGACTCCGAGAAAATCGCGCTGTTGTCGTTGTTGCAGTCGACCAAAAGGGGATCGATCATGTTTCAAAGGAGCAAGTCGTTTCGTTGAAGTCTATCTCCCCAACTGCTCTTTTTGCGGATGATGCAAGCCCGCGCTGGTAGGCCTATCCCCGAACACGGGTAGGCTATCGATCTCCGACGCCGTTGCAGACGGTTCCTCTTGCTGGTAGATCGAGTTGCGAAGAGCGAGTCGGGACGTGTGTAGTTGGCGGGGGGCTTTTGAGAGTGCACGAAAGAAGCCAACATCCACCCCTGTAGCAGGGGAACCAGAGTCAGCCCACGCGTTCGTTCATCGTCTGTGCAGATACCATGCACGTGGCGGACACGGCACCAGCACACACTGGCGACAGAACGCCACGCTGCTACTGCTGTGGCCCGCACATGCATGCCCTCGACGGCCAGCCTCTCCCTCTCCCTGACTGCAGTTGCCCTCTGCTGCTGCTGCTGCTGCGTGTGTTCTCTCTAGCGCTTAGTTATTACATCTTCCGCGGCTTCGGGCGTTCGTTTTGAAATTTTCCAAAACTTTTCCGGCCACCACGATGAATGAGATGGCACTATCACATACATACCCTCAACAGGGCGGCGCACACCGCTGACCCTGTCTCCAGGCAGAGGAGGGAGCACTAACAAAAAACACTCGGTTTGTGCGATGCGGATGCGCGAGCGTGTAGCAGCGCGTGATTACTGGTGGATGATGATGTTCTCCTCTCTCTCTCACCCTTGACAGGCCGCGTGCCCATGCGTCATCGTCGTCGGTCGTAAATAGGCTCGATCCTCTCCTCGCCTTCGCAACTACTTGCTGGCTGTGTAGGTCGCAAGCACACAGACAGCAAGTGGCCCCACACCATTGAAAACTGAGGGCAGAGAGAAGCTGATCCCGCTCAAAGCGACCAGATGCAAACGGCAGCAGCAGTATCCACCCTTGTTGGGTGTCAGTCACTCGATCTTCGCTGCAAAAACCGCAATGTGTCCATCTCCTTTGGCGAACAACGAACCGTATGGAACGGTCATGTGGGCAACACTTTTTTTCGCTTTCGCGCGTCAAGAGAAAGTATCTCCTAAAATTATCATGAACCTGCGAGAGGACCGCGTGTGTGTACTTACGCATATGCATATGCATATTATCAACCTCAATTAATTGCACGTTGAGATCGTTATTACCAAGTCGTTGTCCCAGCTTCTTTAAAATCCGTATTTTAGTTATCTATTCGAGAGCCTGCCTGGGTCTCACCTTTCGTGATAATTTAGCAGCAATCACATAGACATGAAGGTTGGATCTCCTCTGTTTCAACTATTTATCGAAAAAAGGTACCAAGTTGTAGTTCAGTTTCTGAATTTTGGCAATTCGCGATTGATTTCCACACCATTGCCTGATCAATAGACGACATAACTAGGGGATTGTTTTGAACCTCGAAAGTCCTCCATCCTCCATCCTCGGCGCACGCAAACGGTGAGATCACAGTGTTTATTGTCGTTATCCTTACATTATAACGTGTTGGCGGATCTCAATATATATGTGAACGTGCTCCTCTGTAAAAGTCAACGCCCCCTCTTCCGTCCCATCTGACTCGCTCTTCTCGGCTTTTGTTTTACGTCGGGTTTCCGCAGTCACCCCCCCGCCCCCTTCTTGTCCGGTGGTCCGGTGAGAACCCGGCGTGCTCCGTCCCGGCTTTTTAGGGATGCGAGGTCATGGGTCTAACGACTACGGCATGCACGACTAAGAGTACCCCCCCACACCCTCCACCCCTCCTGCCGCGCCGCCCCCGCAAACCTGCTTGCAACTTGCCTGCTGCACCACCGTCTCTTTGTGCCGCCCGGCGTCTTCGCATCATCTCCGGCTGAAAATCTACCCGCGGCGGTGGCGGCTAAGCAGAAGCAAAGCCTGACGTTCGAGCCGTACTCGGAAGAGGTGAGTCAGGACTGGTACTAGTCCAGTAGTCCCCGAGAAGGGAGAGGGTCTCCCGCCTCTGTCGGTGGGCGCCGGGAGGAGATGTATGTGCGTTTCGCTCTCCAACAACCCCCCCCCTGCCTTTTTGCCGCAGAATACCGTACACCGTTCCAAAGTAGGTGTGATCCTTGCAGTAATGGGCATATATATACCCCTACCGCCTAGAATTCTACGGACCCCCCCCCCGGCCTCCGGCGATGTTTGCCATCGGGGTTGGGTTTTTGTCGCTTGACAGCGATGTTGTAAAACAAGCCGATCACTTCGTGAGCTCAGCAACCAGGTTACCGTTTTTTTTGCCTTTGGTTTGTTCTTTGCGGTAACCATGAGTGGTGGTCGAGTAAATAATGTTGTGCGGGGTCGAGAACCCTCACCCCGTGCAAAGGGAATAGTCGCACCACGTTGTGTTATAATGGTCGAGCACCCTCGAGGCAGTTACCACACAGCAGTACGTATAGCTGTCTCTGGAAGTGAAAGCACCAGAAAATAAATTAAGTCATACGCAGCTGTCATCCGTACGCAAAGAAGTAAGCACAAGATGCCGAACACCCTTAGCAGGATGCAAGCGCACCCTTCACGTGACTCGCCGAATACCTCACGGCGCTTCGCGCTTGGTGATGTGAGAGCCTGGTCCGGTGAGAACCCGGCGTGCTCCGTCCCGGCTTTGTAGGCATGCGAGGTCAATGGTCTAACGACTACGGCATGCACGACTATGAGTACACCCCCCCCCCCCCCCCCCTGGACAATGAGAGCATAACCCTTAGCAGA